TGATGAATCAGGGAAGATGTGGATTCATGACATCCTCTCCAGTTATTTGTTCACTGTGTGGCACAGGATGTATCAGGGAATGCCTGGATGCTTTGCTCACACTAAGAACACCCAAAGTTTTGGGGTGGGAAAACTCCTTTTCCAAGATCTTCATATAGGTCAGGCATCACATGTGTGGCCAACGATAGCTCTCATTCTCAAATCCATCTGTGCCACCTTCCCTGCTGACACTGTGTCTCCCTTCCCAGTGGGATGGGCAAGTCACCACCTCTTTCTCACTGAGATTCTCAGGGAAACTGGAAAGCTTCTTTCAGCCTGCAAACTCAAGTCTCCAACTTGCTCAGTCCATTCGGGAGTTAGCAGTGAATAAGAGGCAAATCACTCCAGACTCCTTCAAGCAGTGCAGCCACCCAGGATGAGAGCAGCTCTCTGGGATCCCCTCAGATCTTCTGCTCCAAGTCTGTCTAGAAGGACACCCAGCCTGGACTTAGTTCCACATAATAGAGGCTCCAACGTGGTGTAACATAAGCTGTTTTGGTGGTTAATTATCCTTTCATTTCCAAATTCCTGTGGATTTGTGAGGCTTTTGTAAGCCCTGGCATCTCCAGGAGGTGTTGCACAGCTCACGTCTCCCAGGGATGCTCCTTTTCATAGAAGTAGCAAAATAAATTGCTAAGCTCTCCAAAGAGCCTGTCTCCAGGGAAAAGGCTGCTGTTTGATCCCTTCTCTTCAGGAATCACATGGATACCATGGATCATACTCTTACCCTGCCCCATGATGTGTGATATCTTCCCCCCTCCAACAGGAAACACTGACCAAATAATAAGATTTTATGTTTAAGAAAGCAGCATATTCCTTCTTTCCCCAACTCTACATGGAGGAAAAAGTGTTGATCTGGGGGTAAAGTTTCATTGTTGCCAGTTTTCTCGAACTCCCAAATGGAATTCAGAAGAAAAATATTTGCAAAGCAGCCACCCCAAAAATGTCATGTTTGGATAGTTCTTAAACTAAGTAACAAAATAAACCAGCTAGAAGAAGTGTGGTTTGATAATAGCATTAATTTTTATACTAAAACAGCGATTTGGGATAAGTTGGAAAGCAACTTGAGTTTAAACCTCAAGGAAGCAAGACAGCAGCATCTCTGTGTGCTTCTTGGTGGAAACTGCTGTATTCTTTTCTCTCCATCTCTGCAAGGGAGGCTGTATGGATCAGTCCCTCCCCTGGGAAAAGCAGGGCTGGGATGGGGTGTGTGCGCCTGCGCAGGTAACCTGCCCAGGGGCACGCGGATGATTTCAGGCTGCATTTCCACCCGC